TTATCAAAAGGGAACGTCACAAATACTACATATTGCCAGCATGGAACCTATGTTCATATTTTTCAGAATTTTTTTCGGCAGAAATGTTTCACATAAATATTTTAACTACTGGTGTATATAGAATAAAAGAAATTTAAATATTGGCCATAGATTTTATTTTTATTTTATTTGCTTCTATGAGGTTGAGAATTTTTTTTTCAGATTAAGCATTTTAAACATTAAGCAATAAGCATTTTCATCAGAAGAGTTTTACTTTACATATATTTTATTGCGTGCCATATTGTTACTCTAATCTTTAAAGAAATACAGTTGCTTACCAATTGCATTTCTTCCTTTTAATGGGGGGTAGGGTAAAAACTGTCACATTTGCTTTGATAACAACTTAAATCCCTAACTTTTCAATTTTTTTTTCTTCTTCTAAACAACGTAGTATTTAATTAATCACTTTTTACTTTGAAAATTGTATTGTGTTCATGTATTATGTTACAATGTATTAAATTGCATTAAATTGTATTGTGTTACAATGGCCTTTCCTATCTTGTTCTTTTTATATCTCTCTTGACCAAATTAATTCTTGAAAAAATTTCTTGAGCAACCAGTTTTCTGCACCGCACAGCACTAAAACTATTTAGTGTTACAGTTTTTTAATGGAGCAAAAATACTATTGATATTATGTTGCTCTGTTTTCATAAGTATTGAAATTTTTTTTCAAAAAATAAAGTTTTTCATGATGTAAGATGTATTGACTTTAAATTTCATAAATTTGTTTTATAAAACAGTAATTGTTTAGATAATTAAAATCCGAACAAAGATCTCGTGCATCTTTAGCTAAAATGATCTTTTCATTTAAATTTTTTTAAAATTCTTTAGTAATATAGTTATGGGAATTTTCTTCCTTTTCAGTTTCTCACATATTTTTAGTGCTTTTGAAAGCTTGTATTGCGTATTAAGCCAAAAGATTTTTTTTATTATTATTTTAAATAAAAAAAGTAGATAAAAGTTTTCAGAAAAAATTTCAAATAGATTTAAACTAGTTTACAAAAATTTAATAGTTAGGATAAACATTTTCCATCAGTTGACAAACACCATAACGATAATTCGAAACACAATTAAATCCTATTATAGACATATTATTACTTAGTAAAAAAAAATTTAGTTGCAATACGCGAATCAATAGCTGACATCAGCATGACATTGTTCGGACTAAACTTTTATGGTTGAATATACATAGTTTAATATTCAATAATATTAACAGGTAGATTTCGCATATTTTATACGTTTGATTCCGTGCATAACAGCACGTAACAGAACAGCGAATGCGCTCCTAAAATGCGCTTGCTACAGTTTCAGAGAAGTGTGCTTGTAAATAATGGCCCTAAATAAAAGCATCTATAAATTGCTACAAATATATATATTGTGAGAAAATTNAATATATATATATATTAAATTTTACTGCAAAAGACGTTTTCATGGTCTCAGCTTTTCTTACAATTACTCAAATAAAAGTAGTTTACATAACGACGCCAAATCTGTCCCTTTGAAGCACTAATAAATAAATATCCTTTTTTCTCCTTTTTAGTTTAGTTTTATAGAAATTTGTTTTAGTTTCTTCAATAACTCATACCTTGTATAAAATATGTTACTGATAGCTCAGTTTTGACAATATCACAAATTTACAACTAATTTAATCAGTTTCAGCAGCTGGTTGTCTTTAATGAAAATGGTGTCCGTTTTACGGTTGGTCTAATGGTATTTAATAGTATTGGCTCACATTATAACGAAATATAGCTCAACTTATAGCTTTACACAAGAAAAGTACTTATAAAAATAATTTTCACTTGCGTGGGTATCTACCTGTTATTTCGTATTTAATTTTGAACGTGCTCTGTTATTATATTTTCGCTATAGATAAAATGTCACAATTGATCTCATAAAGCTCAATAAACTTGGCAGTGAGTTCTTAATATTGAGCGTATGGAAAAGTAGGTATATATTCGTAGATTTGTGTATATAGGAATGAAAATAAAACAAAAAATGGACGACACTGCAAAAATGAATACAGAAAAATAAACAGAGTCGGTGATTCCTACTTCAAAATCCTTTTAAGTCCAAATAAGAGTATTTAGAAGTGTAATCACTCTTCTAAAAACGATGTCAATCAGGTGTCTAATAAAAGTAAAAGTCTAGAAGCATTATTTAACAGTAAAACTAGAGAACTGAATCCCCTGCTAGCATCTGGTTTTCAGTTATTTTAGGTTCATTAGATATTAAAATAATTTAGCCTAGTTTTGCATAAATAAAGTTACTCTTTTTAAAAGAAACTTATAAAAATATAAATCATATCTATATATTTCGGAAATTTACCGTTTTGGAAGGCCATTCAAAAAACCTATTGTCAAAATTAATTAGTAATTATCAGCGTACTTAATACATTGGCCATATTTTATGGTTACTCGAAATGGTATAGTACCAATAATTTTCTCGTAAATTGTATGAAATCCCAAAAACGTTATGATAATATATAAGTAATGCATTAAAAACATTAATTTCATTTTGATTTTATTCAGAAATATGAAATGCAATTTTAATTAAAATTTCAGTCCTTTGTTACTAAAGCGAAAATGAAATTTTATCGATTTAGTAACAATATGGGCATTAATGCATACTTTAATAAAGTTTAACGAATTATTTTCATATTTGCAATAAATACTTTCATCAACGCAACTCAAAATTATTTAGTTATATATTTAACATAACTTAAAATATTTTTGCAACATAGTATTCCCTCAATTTTACAGTCGACAAAATAAAGAGATCTATTTTTAATCTTTCAAAGTGGTGTAAAAATAAACTTTAACACGTCACCCCTCTAAACAGTCTAAATTTCAATTTCACCATATATTTTTTTTATACTTAACTTTAGGAATTTCCTTACGTTTAAATAGAATCCTTAGTTATCAATCTTCTGAAAGTGTGCGCTGTTACTTAAGAAGTTGCTCAGATGTGAACTCAATATGTTTAATAGATTACAAAAGACATTAGGCAGTCAGCATAATTGAGTAGAATTAAAGAATTCCTCCTAATCGCATTAATTGTATGTTTTCGACGGGCTCTTTCGAACAGAATGACGTGCGAAATTATCATTATTCCGGCAGGATTACGATTGGCAAGACGGAATCATGTAGTTCTCAAAGGAAACTGTTGATTTCTAACTTAAAGTCAAGAGTAATTATATAGTTCTTATTCCTGAGGGTAATCACACATTAATTACATTTCTTATTCCCCAGTTGCAGTCTGCTTAGTAATCAAGAAACGATGTAAAATGACCCGCTTTTATGTACAGTGGTGCTTTTTTTTTACTCTTTCAAAAAAAACAAAAAACTGTTAAACCCATTTTGTAATTTGAGAGTTAGATCCTTTGATTTTCGTATCTCTTCTTAGTTTAAGTAAATTAAATTAATTATTTGACTAAGAAATTATTAATATAATACTTAACATCAGACGAAGGTTTTTATGAGCAAGAAAGTTTTTTTTATTATGTTGCTGCCTTAATTTTTTTACAGTAAAAACAATATATATATATATATAGAAATAAATACAAAAAAGACAAAAAGAAGCAAGAGAAAAATTAAGACAATTAATAATTAATAAATTTTCGGGCAAATCTTTGGTAACTAGCAAATTAAACGTGCTTCTGTACTGCAGTAAGAGCGAGCTATAAGTGTTTTGCGTGATATTTATAATTTAATGTGTTCTATTTTGTTTCAAAGCTTTTTTGACTGCTCCTTACAATATTGCATTGATATATTTTGCTTTAGCTATATTGATACAATATTATAAAGCACTCACTTTTTCGGATATAATAGTGTGATTATATCGTTTTTTCCTGGTTTTTTAATTGAATATTCTTTTAATATTTATTTAAATAATTTTCCTCTTCTCTTTTTACTTCTCTGTACTTTTTTTCAATGTTTTCTCTAAATTTTTCTCTACATTTTGACATATAGTTATGTATTTACAAATTGTATGTACATAACGAACAAAAATAATATGTTTTTCTTGCTGAAAATAAACTTTTTAATCGATACTCCATCTTTTAAACATTTTTCAGTGTTTCTTCTTTTTACTCAACGTTCTAAAACTTATTTCGACTAAATATGCATTTCAAATCTGCCACTCTGAGTGTATATACAGATTCTAACTTGTGTATCTTTTCATAAGGTTAATGGAATCAAAACGGACAGAGAGTGTGATTAGCTTTGAATACCAGTATATATTCTGATCTAAATGAGGAACTTATGAATTGATGGAATCATAAAATCATTATCAATAACTGATGGGATATTGTGAATTGACGGAATGTGTATTTTCCGCTTTTGTATGGTTTTATTACCAATTTCTCTTTTAAAAAATCTGCAGATATATCAAAATCCGGAAAAGTTTTTTTTTTCAGAATGATTTGAGACATTTTCCAAAAATTTCATTTCATTTTGCTGAAATCAAACCTTCAGTAAAATATTTCTAACTCTTTAAAATGGATTATTTAAATGGATAACTCTTTAAAATGGATTTTAGAGGGCTCAGAACACTTTAGAGCATGATCTAAAATCTTCATGTCAAGAAACTCGCCTGTCAGTTCTACTTAGAACCATATGACTTGAACGATATTTGAATGATATTATGGTTAAAACTGCTGTAGAATTTCTAAGAGTCTAGTTTTGTTTCTAAAATAGAGCTGTGCTAGTTATCAGCAATAATATCTCCTCTTTAAGTCTATCCAGAAATTTTGTTTTGTTAAGTCTATCCAGAAATTTTGTTTTATTAAGTCTATCTAGAAAATTATACACCAATACTTTTACAGTGTAGTTAAGTAAGTCAAAGCTGTTAAAATGTTTCATGATTACAATGCTTCCGGTCTATTTAAAAGTATATCAATTGTAATTGTTATATTTACATTTGTTCAAAATTTTCCAATGCATAAAAGAGTATGCATACAGCAATTCAATTAAGTTATTTATTTTATTTACATATAATAAACAGTTGCATTTTACATCAAGTCAATAATTAAAAAAATGTTGAAGGAATGATAAAAGTAAATAAATAAAAATATGAACAAATGAAAAATTAATAAAACTACAGATTTAAAAAAAGTATTAAAATAATAATTATTTTCCCATCAAGGATACTTTGAGAATATTAAAACATTAAACGACATATACAATTTTACAAACAGGAATAAATTTCTTTCAAATAGTTAGATACCATTTTAATTGATGTAACAATAGGAACAACCACATGATTAATAGTTAGGATGTTAAGTTCAAAAACAGATAAATATTCGTATTTAATAACAATATCTTCCTTTTAATTTCGAAGTTTTTGAGTTAAAATATTGATATGTAGGAACATAATTTTTGGTACAACACAATTCAGCAAATACTAAATAATGTTTACAGAATTGGTAATTTTTTGCAGTCTTAGAGAATTCTGGAAAGAATAAAATGACATTTCTGATAAAAAAAAGAAGGAAAAAAAACATTTCACATCTTATTTTTAAAAGTAATTTGGTAACTTTTTAAATTTAAAAGATTTAAGTTCTTTCTTAAGTTTGGTTGAATTTGAATGCGTTCGAAAATCATTTAGTTTTAAAACCTCTAAAGAAGTTTTCAGCTTATTATCATTTAATTTAATCCAAATAGTTAAGAAAACGTTTTTAAAAAACTGAAACGCTTGCGTCTTAGCTTTTTTTCTGCTTTTTCTTTTCAAATTGAAATGCCTTAGAACTATTTCACAGTAAGAAGATAATTTTCCCAGAATTCTAGTTATTTTTTTACTAGTTTAAAGGATCACTTTAAAAAAATAATCTTAAGTAAAAATCATTTTTTAAAATCGACTATTCATATTCTTTAACAATTAAATAGCAAAGTGCACCAAAGAGTTTGAGGAATTCCTAATTTAATTTAGGGGTTTTTCTTCAATGATTTCGGTAGAAATGAGCTTAAACTAAAGCAAGAGAGCTAGAGGAGTATATTACCTTTTTACTTCTTTTTGCAGGTTTAATAAGAAGAAATTGGTCAACAACTTTATGTATGGCTGTAAACTAAGTACTTAACGATTTTTTTTTGCATTTTAATAATTAACATGCTATTAAATATTATTTGAATTATGTTTTAGATCATTCGAAATAAGATGCTTCGTACAACCGGGCGCTTGCAACTAAATTTTTAATATGCCTCTACTCAACACATTTTGCATACTTTGGCTTATAGGCAATGTTCCCGTCGTTCTCTTAAATTTTAACAATACGCATATCATTAAATATCTTTGTCATCATGTAAAGATCATTCAAAAGATAATGTTTTATTTTCACCGAAAACTGCGTTTTTTTAGTTAATTTATGGTAATTTTCAGATCGTTTAAACGGAACGTCAAATTGAAAAAAATGAGCTTTTTTGAACGACGATTATGACGATAAAAGCTAATCTTGGTGAATGGTAGTCTGCAACCAGTCGCGATTGGTACGCAGAGTTTAAAATTGGAAATATCAACCTCAAAGATGATTCTCGTTCTGACCGGCTTGTTGAATTTTAGAACACCATAGGATTTCAACCAATGAGATGTTTGATATTTTGTCAGACGTTAAGAAGAAATCGTAAAAAAAGAAGAATCAGAATGCATTATTGCTTATTTAGATTCTAATTTTCATTGAAAAATAATCTTTGAAAAATTTAAAATAAGCGCAGACTAAGTTGTCATTTTATAAAAAAATGAGTAAAATCGAACCCTGAAGACATTAATGACAACCTCTTTTACAGCAATGGTAATTTCAAAGAGTTAATAGTAAATCCGTTATTCCGTAACTAGCTTGCTTAGCTAATATGAGATTCTAATATCCATGTATATAGTCAAATTCCGATAATTTCATTTAGATATTAGACATGCGGTATTTTTTTTTATTATACTTTTTATGTATTAAAGTTTTTCTGTTACAGATTATGATAGGCAACCTGTTTTTTACGTATAAAAGAAAAATCCTTCCTGACATTCCCGAATGCAAAATTTGTAAGTAAGATCATAAATTGCTGAGGTCTGGATACATAAAGGGTTTTATACTTTTGTCAGGGAAACTTTCTCTTTCTATGTTATGTTTTTCATCTATAAGATTGTTGTTCTTATTGATGAGTGGTTGTGGTTTCCAACATAGTTGCTCCTTATTTTAGGTATTTTTATCTATTAATAATTTCTAACCAATGAATACAGTTTCATATGGACCACACTTACACACTTATTGTTCTTTAAGTCAACATTATTTTTATTTTTGTCGTAGTTAAGGAAAAAATAAGGTTGAAATTAAGATATATTGTTGAGGTTATTTTTCGTACAAAGGAATTTTCTATCTCAGTTGTATTTTTTTAAGCTTGTTAACCCGCAAAAAAATCTTACTCTTTGTAAGGAAAAGAACTTCTGAGGAAGTAAATTCAATAAATTATAAATCACATACCAGTTTAAATTTTTACATATCAATTCAAAAGAAGCAAAATCTTTTCCATTAAAAAATTACGCAAATATATCTTATTGCACTTTTGTCTTAATCTACTTCTTATGGGTCTAGGTTTAATATCTGAATAGATTTCAAAAGCCTTTTGATTTTACTAGGATTATATTTTGCCAAAAAAATTTGTAAACATTAAATACAAATAAAATAATTTTTTTATAAGATTACAAAGTAAGTGTTTTAAGTTTCAACTATTGCCACTGCAAGCTGTACCACGAAAACAAATATATATGCCAGCAACTACTGCTTAACTAAATATATACAATATTACATTATGTAGAATATACAGCCAATAATAATATTTCTCTTTATGACGTATAACCCTGTAGGTTTAAGCACCAACATATGCGAGGTACGGATGATATTTGACATCCGTAAAAATGAAAGATATATTCAGAGGTAAGAAAATAATGTTGTATATTAAGTAATTATAACTGCAAACATATACATGATGCATCTCACAATTCGAATCTTATTTATTTGATAGCAAAACTAAATCATGACAAGTTTTCTTCTCTTTTTATAAATTTTAATTTTTTATCAAGATTAATTCAAAAAACCAAATCTCTAAACCAATGTTATTCTTTTTCCTTTTTAGGAAAATCGATTTAATTCAGATTATTTCCATATTGATTTGTCAGAGAACATTATTCTTCTTTCCCTTATAACTGAAAACTTAACGTCTTCAAAACCCATTTATAAATCAATCCTACTTTTTTTTACTATCAAATCTATTAATATAGATTTTATTTTTTATTACGTCCGTATTTTCATTGCTTTACGTTGTATTTATTTCATTTGGTATTACTTAATTTTTAATAGATTTCAATTGCATTGACTTATTTTGCATTAGTTTATTTTTTTCTCAATACAACTTTTCAAAATTTTATTTTCAACGAAGTTGCAAAAATGCATTACGCTTTGTATTCTTGATGTAGTTAAATCTTTCTAAATACCGTGATAGTTAAGAAATTGCACTGGGAATTTTTTTGGAATTTTATACATTTTACTACACATGTGTCGTATTTTTTGAGAGCTTACATAGATTCCATTTATCTTTGCAAGTTATTTAAGTCATTGATCAGTTGATTATCTATAGTAATGAGAAAGATGCTGTGCATTTCAAACGGATGACACAAAAGTGTGTTTTTAGGTCAAATAAGCTCAAGAGCAAAACAAACTGTCTTTATTTTTATCCTTTATTTCAGGCTATTGTACAATCACTTACACTGTAAAAATTCCAGATTGAATTACGGCACAAAGTGCCAGCACTCAGGAGACTTATCCATTTTACTGCAAAATAATTTTTTTTTCTCTAAATTTTATGGAACGAAAAATCTAATTTAACGTAATTTTTACATTTATATTTATTATAAAATAGCTGAATGACTGTAATTAAATAAATGTTATTGTAAAAATTATAGTATAAAATTTAAATTATACTGTAAATTTGATGCTGCATTCTTGGTGCCAGTACTTTTTACCGGAACTTTTTATAATGTAGAAGGCTAATGAAAAGAAATACATTTTTACTTATAATTTTTTGTAGTTTGAATAACTTTCATCTTTTTTTTCAACTTTGCTGTCACTAAAACTACAACATTTGTAATTTCCGTTGCTGAATAAAAATAATATGAAATTAGAGTAGTGCTTTAAAAAAACAAATACAGTTTTTCACCTTATGTTTTTATTATAAAAGTATCATACCTAAAAGGAAATGAAAAGTATCTGAAAATGATGAGAAATGGTGCAAAGGCTTTTTTTCCTAAATCAAATCAGCTATTTTTTTAAAAAATATATATGATATTTTATCTCCTAACTATCAGTTATTCATTTTTGTTCGAAGTAAATACAGTAATGAAATGTAATGAGATTTATTTGGAATCATCCGTAATTATTTTATTGGCAGCGGTATTTTTCTAACTCTCATTTTCACCTCTGAATGTATCTTTAATTAAATTATAATTAAGACAAGATGGTAAACACAAATTGTTTCACGGGTGAAAGCTCAATAGAATGCCAGCAATTCCAAAATAATGAATTTAGTTTCTAGAGATATGTTGATAAGATTATAAATAGCTAAAAATCCAAGTCATCTACATATTGGATAAAAAAATCCTCTTAATTTAATTTCCTAATAACAACAGGCGAAAGAAATGTAGAAATAAAAATGTATGTATATATAGACACCATTTTTTATGGATACATCACCACATTAGCGTTGATTATCTTGGAATAACTTGAAGCTGAAATTATGAACAAATTATTTAAGTTTTGGCTTGTGGTTTAGAAACTACCACTTTTTCGAAGATCAGTACAACCGCTTTCATTTACATTATTTTTGTGTACATATTTGCATGATCTCAGTTATCTCAGTTTTTTTCCTCAGATGATCATGAACGCGCATGAAAGCTTATCCATTGGCACATGATGAATAGTACATAGTATGGAATAGCAGCAATTAGCTTTTCAGCTCCTGATGCAGTTGATGGACCGGAACCTATATGGGTTTAAAAAGTAAAAATATAATAATATTACTAGTAAAGCAAAACTATTGGATTCTGCACACAACTAAAAAAATAATCAAAAATATGAATTTTGAGTTTTTGCTGCACTTTCCATAAATTATTCTAATAGCATTTGTTTTTAAAGCCTTTATTGATATTTTTGCATATCTTTACTTAATGTAACATTAGCTTCAACAGCTCTAATAAAATTAAAAAAGCGTTTACGTGCAATTTGTATTAACGAAATTATGCCCAGAGCTTATTATGCACATATCGTTATTAATAATAACTACATTAAAACTAAAATGATAAAATGCACTAAAATTTCATTTCTTTAAGCGTTTTTCCCGAAAAAAATCTGCCGAAGTATTTGAAGTAAGTATTTCAACGTAATAGTTCAAAAATAAGTAAACTAAAAAAGTTCTAGGAAGAATTAAAGAATTTTATTTTCTAGAAAATAATCCATGAATCAGAAAAAGTAAATTTTGTTGAAATAGATCCTAAAACCGATTCAAGCTTTTGTCAACAATTCTTTTGGCTTTTCCAAAGAATGCATATTCCCTTTTAGCATAGGATAAAGGTAGAAAAGGCATTAGTGTTAAAATTTTGATAACGTTAAGCCAAAAGGAACTTTACTTATAACAGTAAGGAGATTTTTTAATTTCAAGTTATATTCTATAGAATTCCGTATGTAAGATTTGCAGCAACCACGCCGGTGAAAAGGCACCAAACTTACGCTAGCAAACACAGAAGATTTTGCAAATACCTGAAAGAAAAGTCTCCTTATTTCTGTTCAATCATCATTACATTCGTCAAAAGTAATGGTATGGGTGGCTCTTTTCTAGAAAGGAATCATTGGGTCATCTTTCCTTAACCAAACAATAACTGCAACACTATATTTTGATGTTCTGCATGATTTTTTTTTCTGCCATACACAATGCGTTGGTGGATTCACATGGTTCATCGTGGTTTACGCAAGATGGTACTAGATCTCATCGAATGGTCACGATATTTGGATTCTTGGAAAATTATTTGGATGATCATGTCACTGTTCTATACTTCTAGAACCATACAAGAAAAGACATAGACTGGCATCCCTATTCCCAGGATTTTAACCCTTGTAATTTTTTTCTGTGTATACAAAACCAAAAACCCCAATCTTTTGAGGACATAGTACATAACGTTTGTAATACTAGTGAGTCAATTTCGACTGAGAAATTATCACGCGAATGTGCAAATTTTGTTACGAGAATACTTTATTGCTGCAAAGGGTGGCTGGATTGAAAGCATGGTTATTTGTTTTATGGCCACCAACGACACCCTGTGGGAAAATTTAGAGCTATTTTAACACTTGGGGCAAATGTATATTAATGCATTTTTCAAATAGTATTTCTCTTCTAATAACCATGAAGTAAGCGGAGCATTTTTGTCTTAAACTGATTTTTCTTCATACGTTCATAAATTGTCATCCATTTTGTAGATACTCTGTAAATGTATTATAGATACGTGTATTTTTTTTAAATTTTTGAATTTCGAAAAAGTGTAGTGAGGAAAAATAGCTTAAAGTAATAAGAATAGTTAAGATAAAGTAATAATTTATCTGTCTTCTATTTTTCCACTTTCCGTTCTATTATCGTATAAAGGAAAATTAAAAGAATAACGCCATTTTTAAAAAAAAAAATAAAGTTCAAGTTCAGCAGAGTTCAGTTTTTTATGCATGTTTGATAGTTGAATAACTAAAATAAAATAAATCCTGACCAATAATTTAATTTTATTTTACGTTAACTCAACATTTCAATAGAAAAAGCAAGTTTACCAGTCTCTCGTAATAGTCACTGTGTATCACTTTCACTATGTATTAATTTTTGATACCATGCGTTATCCGAAGATATATACTGATTTTCAAATTCCTTAAGTCTTTAATATTCTTATTACAAGAATAAAATTTTCTGCATTTAAGCATTTCGAAATTCAAAAATTTATTCCATTTTCAACCCGCTAGCATAGGCGAACTACGTCAGCAAATTAGTATTCCTAAGTTCATCCGAAACAACGTGTTTATTTTGATGGTACTTGTGATTTAAAATGATGTTTGTTAAAAAATATATTAATTTAAAACAAAGGTATTCAGTACAAAATCATCTAACATTTTGCACTGAAATGCTAAATTAATGGAGAAATAGTACTAATTTGCTTAGGAGAAACATAAAAAAGCACACTGTTATTAACGCCAATGATGCTTGATTATTATCGGTAATAGGTACTAATTGAAACAAGAAAATAAGTTACTCGCTGGAAAGAAAATCTAATGGTTTAATGGTTATTAATCATGTAGGAAAAAATTCCGTAAAATTTTTAGTGCCAATGATGCTCACTTAATTTTGGTAATAGTTACTAATTGAATGATTAAATGTAAAATATCATCATGCTATTAATAATTCTAATAAAATTTAATTACTTTTGGTGATAACTACTGCTATTATGGTAATTGGTGCGGATTTATAGGTACCAAAAATGCAGATATGGGTTCAATGTATTAAATATTAGTAAATTTGGTATTTTCTATTACTACCTCAATGCAGCTTAAGTATACTATTTAACGGAAGACAGAGATGATGAATAATGAGAAGATAAAGAAAGAGATGATGAACAAAGACATGATAGACAAAGGGATAACGAAGAAAAAGGTTTCCAGGAGCCCTCGGAAGGATAAAGTGCGGTGAAATTCGTTTAACTTAGATAAATTTTGACTATCATGAGTTGGTTCCGAGCAGCATCCTGCCAAATGATACTCTAGATACTCTAGGCGGTAAATAATAATTTTGATGGATTGGACTGCTGGAAACAAGTTTGGCTTAACGTTATACTTTAAAGCCACCTGACAGGGCAAAATATAATAATAAATAAAATTGAAGAATTAATTTACTTTATCAATTGTGGTGGTATTATCCATTGGCAAAATGGGTTTTGTTTTGAGTTTAATGGCATCATTACACTTTTCAACTGTGTTCAAGAGTAACTGTGAACAGTGCGCATGCGTCGACATTGCATGCGTTGCTATGGCGACCGCTGCTGTTTGATAATATTTTTAGAACTCTTTTTTCACTTTTAATTTTGTTGTGCATTAAGTTGGTGAGTTTATTTTTGAGATATGGGAACAGAGAAATCCATAAATACTACTTGAGTTGGGAATAAAAGAGAATTTCATCATTTGAACGATATTTTATTTTTTATTGTTTTAATTAAGAATCAGAAATTCTAACCTACAGTGCAAACTGGATCGTTTTCAATACTAATTCACGTGAATATCACAAAGAAGGAGGGTTCCAAACAGATTGGCACGTTAGAGTTGAAACAAGAAAAGAAAAAAACGAAAAACAACGCCAAAGCCTAAACTTACTGAGGCTGAAAAAGATCAAGCCAAGGAACGTAGACGGGAAAAAAATTAGACAGCGACCATTTTGCCAATGCGTAGCCTGTAATTGCTTTTCGGCGATCACATTTCTTTTCCCATATTATTATTAGTTGTCATACTATCTTATACTATTTTTATGTCTTTTGGTTTTCATGCTGAACAAGTAGTACTTTTCTGCTTATTGATTACATTCGAATAATTTAAAGCCACCAGAAAAGGGCAAAATACAGTAATAAATTTCAAAAAGTATATTTAATTTAGCTTTACTAATATTTTGTTTTGTTTTTTTGCATAAGCTAGTAGTAATTTTCTGTTTATTGATTGTTTTCCTTTCTTATCCCTGTAAGAATAAAAAATTAAAAATCTTCGCTTAAAAATATTTTTATAAATTTAAATGTCTAGTATGTAGACTAAATGCAAGAACTTCTTAATGCTAATTTTTTCAAATGTTTAAAAAAAGTATATGTGAACTATAAAAAAAAATTTTTGAATAAGGATGTTTTAGCCAAAATATGACACCTCGTTATCTTTGTAAATACAGCAAAAATTGGAGTACTGATTTGATAATTCTTCGACTTGTATTAGGATCCAAGAAGGTCCATATTTCGATACAGTCATTGTTTCTTAAATAATATTTATACTTTTAAAATGATAACTATTTGAAAATTTTGAAATGGAAGTGTATCAATAGTACAAAAATAAATTCAGAAATCAACTTTTTTATATACTAGGCATTGCTGTTCTTACTTTCTTTATACCTAACAATGCAAGTGGAAATTGCAATTTTATTTTCTTCTTCCTTACAAAACACTTTTTCACACCATACATTATTCACTTCTCAATTTCTCTACCATCCTCTAAANTGGATTACAAAAAGAAATCTTTAAATGAAGATGTTTAGCAAAAATATGACACATCTTTATCTTTGTAAATACAGCAAAAATTGGAGTGCTGATTAGATATTTCTTGGAATTGTAGTAGGGTCCGAGAAGGTCCATATTTCGATACAGTCATTGTTTCTTAAATAATATTTATACTTTTAAAATGATAACTATTTGAAAATTTTGAAATGGAAGTGTATCAATAGTACAAAAATAAATTCAGAAATCAACTTTTTTATATACTAGGCATTGCTGTTCTTACTTTCTTTATACCTAACAATGCAAGTGGAAATTGCAATTTTATTTTCTTCTTCCTTACAAAACACTTTTTCACACCATACATTATTCACTTCTCAATTTCTCTACCATCCTCTAAAAGTAAAGTTGTGCACATTTTTGAATGACGTTAACCTTTTTCCCGATAAAATTTTTTTATACTGCCGGGTGGATAAAAGATTTAAGAAAGGGATGCATAAAGTTTTTCTTACCTGGCTCCGTGTTAGAATTTGTTGAAGGAAAATAGTTCTCGCTTGAAAGGCTGCTTGCATTAAAACTGGGTGATGGACCGTATTGCATTTCTGTTGAGCCTGTAAATAATATTTTAAGATTTGTAGAGAATGGTTTTTAAGCAATTTTATAATAGCATTTGAAATATAAGGGTGACATGAGATTTAGGCTTTTCTAATGTTAAATACAACCAAAAATATATATTTGGATTATTTTAACGAGTTCCTTTTGTCGAAAATAAATGTAATCCCCATTTTTTGCAATCTAATGTACTAAATTTCTATGCTGAAATGATAAAAAATACAATGCAATGGAAAGATAGACATCATCTAAGTTATCAAAATTTTTGAACCAGAAAGTTTGGAGCGGAAAATGTATTGTACAATATCGGGTGGGTATTGTGAATGAGGCCATTCCTGCAATCCTAATTTAGAATTTTTTTTCCAAGATTTGTCTTCCTCATTGAGACGAGTCGAAAAGATTGATATCAAACTCTAAAAATAATACAAAGCCGGACACGTTACTTTTATTCTTATATTTGGCTTACTATTACTCCACAACTTGAAAAGAATATATTTTATAAGTAAACAGGTTACTCCAACAATACAATGTCCAAAGAATGATTTCGAAGTTTACAATGGGCTAATAAAATGTACATAGAGATGCGCAGAAATGACATTACTTCAATCTTATTCTTTAGAATATATTTTGCAGCAATTATATTTCCCATTATATTGCATTTAAAAAAAATTAGAATACTTATTGCTTTTTTATACAGTTACTGAATATCTAGATTTTATGCTAACAAAATTTAGGATACAAAATTGGGATTAAAAAGCCTGTTTCTATCACTGTTGTTCAAACTTACAATAAAGAACTCCAGTGTTGTTAGCATTATGGGTAAAAAACTTTGTGAAGCTCATACTTTATGTACCCTAAATGCTGATTTTCAATGACAAAGCTTATATCAACTCAATGCAAACTTGTGAAAGACAAAATTTATTTACCTTCATTGCTAAATTATGAGGACAAATTTCACGCACCCTAATACCACGATATTGCTGCCAAGTCAGGCATTGTTAGAAACATGCTATTGAACGCATGGACGTCTTGTTTTGTTTCCTTTGGAATGTGTGGCAGGTAACCAAATGTGTGCTCGTTGTAACATGTAAGAAAATTTTATTGAGTGGATGTATTTTGTCATCTATCACTCGTCTTTGCAATAAAATAAACATTTCTTTGCTGTATGAATCGGTTTGGCTAACTTAGTGAATTATAATAAGTTTATATTATTCAATAACCTGTTTCTTCCGTCTTGGCCTGTGAATTCTGCGGGTGGCCGTTTCTGAGTTTTTCTGATTTCGGGCGCTGTGGCTCCGGTCCTTGTGAAGTAGAAGGAGAGGATGGAGGAGGTATTTCTGAAGAAAAAAATATATAATTTAGCTGAAAAATATTCAATGAATTTTAATAAATTTAAATTTTTTCTATTTTTTAATGCTTTATTAATCGACTTATTTATTTATTTATGATTTCTTTTATCTTTGATGCTGCGATAATATTAGCATCAAGAAGAATATTTCAATGCGTCATTATAAGTTATAGGATGCTTATGGGTGCTTTCACTAAAAATAAGAAAAATCTACAGCTTGGGTGAATTGACAAAGCTATGATTATCAGTATTATGTTGCCATTATGAATTATCATCTTTTTCATATGAACAAAAATCTTGGATATTTAAAAATTATAATTTTTTATGAAAAATTGACAGCCTTTGAGATTTTTTCCACTCAGAAAAATTCCTTAATATCAATGAAAAATTTACAATTTCTTCTTGTTTTATCAGTTCAAACAATGCAAAATTGCAGAAAACTTTTTTAATATTATACAAGAGTAGGCTATTAAAACTTAAAATTACAACTGTTCCTCATATTACAATCTTCCTCATATTTAATAATTGGAATTCCTCCTGATTCCCTCCAAAATTTGAGGGTCAGGAATCAAAATTTATCGAAAAAAGGAATGCATATTCAGGGAAAGGACGTTTTTATAACCCAATTTTCAATTGAAATTATCAACAGCTTAAATTAAGTCCTACGAATCTTTCGAACATCGCATCCTCGAAGGTTAGATCTTTGAACTATTAATATTGAGTCTTAGTTCGTGAAAACTTGATCATTAGATAAGAAGTTATTCAGTGCTTTCACATATTTTTAGCGTCATACATTTAATTAAGCTTTTCAAATCTTGCTTTTACATTCTAAATTTCAAAATCTCAAATCCTTAAAATATATGAATAACAAATGCTCTATTTTTGAGTTTTGAAGTTTCAAGTTTTGTCTCATGTATTGCAGTATTTGCTTTAAGGTTTTTAAATAACACCTTAAAACAAATGTTTCAATCAAAAAATATAAACTTCTATTAAAAAAAATTCACAGTGTTTTTACTTTTCTTAATTCACTTTCAAATCTTGATCAAAATATTTTTTTCACATAAATTTTTTTAATATAATATAAAAATGCTATACTTCTGAACCATATTTTATGCATTGCTTGTATCTGTTTTAAGCCTCTGGTATACAAAAATTGTGATCAAGCGCTTAAATCAAGGACAGGAAATTTCAGTAAATCAAATGCAAATAATGTTCAGCATTACTAATTACTTATCCTATTTTTTTATTTAAAATTCTGAATCACCCATGCCTTATTTTTTTAAAAAAAAAGTATAATTACTCTATTTTAGAATAATATTTCTATTATTGTGTTGTCGTCAATGTGTGAAATACTGGTATTCCATGGAATATAAAGGCATTTTATAGTGTACGTGGTGTTTTCATTGAAAATTTATATATACTTTACTTATACAGTACATATTATTCTATATTATTCCGAAGTATTATATAGAATGAAATATAACATTTATATAACAATATAACACAAAAGGTATTATAAAGATATTATTTAAATGACCCCCAATCCTCAAAATTCCATTAGTTATTGAGAAAAATGTAATATATATATATATATATATATATATAT